ATAAGTCTGAAGTAGGCCAGAGGATCAGGAGTTGGCGGCGAGGGGGGGGGGTGGCCTTTGACTTTACATTTTATAGTTTGAGTACTTTGTTTTCATGCAATGTGTTCATTTTTTAAAATTTATTTTTATTAGCATATTCATTATTACAAATAATACTTATTGTGTCCCTTATCCAATCCCTCGCATTCCCCCTTCACCTCCTCTCACTAATAACCATAGATTTGTTCTCTCCATCTGATAGATTAACTCTTCCTCTGTAGGTTTGTTGCCTAGATGATCTGTCCAGTACTGAGACAGGTGTATCGAAAGCAGATGCTGCTTCTGTTACTCTGGAGTGTGTTTGTGGAGAGAGAAAACCTCTTCTTCTTTTTTTTTTTTTTTTTTTTAATGGTCTCTCCTGATTCCTGTATTGTGTCAATGCAGTTGAGAGTCTGATAGGCCATCTGCATGGTGTCTATGACCACTCCTATAAAGACTAGCTGCTTTTGTGGCAGCCATGGCAATTGCGATGGCTATCGTGGGCTACCCACATGGAAATGGTGTTTTTGGTGTGCTCTTTACCTGGTTGCGGCTGGGCTTGGCTTCCCCTAGCTCCATGCCTCAGGACCCCAGTAGGGCCTCAGGGTGGTGGCAGCAGCTTGCCTATTTGTGGCTGGGTTCAGCTTCTCCCAGCTCCATGCCTCCCAATGTGTTACTTTTAACAACAACAACAACAACAAAAAGGTAGGGTTTTTCCTCCCTTTAACCAGCGACTTCTGACTGCTGCATGGAGGATGATTACAGGGAGTAGTCTACAGCTACACTACCCTAAACATGCCCAGTCTCATCTGATAATTGCAGGGAGTGAGGCTGAGGCAGGGACCCGTTTATGCATTGAGCAAAGATATACTGAGCATTGTCTGTATGCCTGGTCTCGTACTGGGCTGTGCTGGGGACACAGCAGTGACTGTGACAGCCCTGGATCCCACCCTTTTGGGGCTCACAATTCAGTGGGGGAGACAGATTGCAAACAAATAACTAGATAACTATCATTTGGGGTTGTGGTAAGCACTCCAAAGGGAATATACAGGGTGTGTTCCTCCTATTCAGGAGGTCAGGGAGGGGAGGTTGGTCAGAACTGGGACAGAGCCTGGACCAGGATAGCAGAAGAGGGTGTGGAAGAGACATTCAAGAGGAAGAATGGACCAGATACAGGGATTAGAGGTTGTGGAGTTAGGGGAGCATCTGAGATGAGGCCCAGGTCTCTGGCCTGGGGACAGGGTGGACCTACCAGGAGGAACAACTGTGTGTGGGGTAGAAGCTGGGTTTGGGTTTGGACGCACTGAGTATGGGGTGTCTCCCAGACACCTGGGGGCCTGTTGGACCCCCAGGTCTGATACAGTCCTCAGTCTTGTCCCATCCTGGCCCTTCAGAGCTACCTCTTCTTTTTAGTCCTCCATTCCCACCTGGACCTTGTTTCCTGAACCCCAAATCTGACCCCTGGCCTGAGGGAGAACCCCTAATGAAAGCTCTCACACGCACACACACATGTACACACCCTTTTGACTTAATTTCCTGTGCCTTGGACATGTGTCCACTCCCATTTACATACCCAGACCTAGCCTCTGGCCCAGATCTCCATGCTTGGTCTACACTAAGACTCTTGCAAATGCTTGCTGGGACACTCACCCAGGGCTGCCAGCAAAAGCTGGTGCTCTGTCCCCTTGCCACTCTCTGGCCACCATGCTAGGTATTTCTGACATCAGGGCTGGGGTATGGTCATCATCAGGAATGAGGCAGGTGCTGTTTTCCCCCTGTCTTACAGAGGCAGCTCAAGGTGGGTTGTTACTGATCAGGGAGTGGACTACAGGTCAGCCCGACGCCGAGACTTCAGTGTGGGAGGGGTCTCCACAGCCTGGGCCCCAGGAACCCCACAACCCCGGGCCTAACCAACAATCAGCTCTACCAGTGACTGCAGCTGCTGATGGTGACTGACAGGGCACTGGGCATGCAGGATCTTATCTCCAGCCCCAGCAGAGCTTGTCAAACACTCTAGCTGCCCCACCCCTTTGAAGACATTGAAAAATTATATATCCTCTAGTGCATTTTCAGGTTGACAGCTAAAACTTCTTAAGTTTAAGTAGTTGTAGAACATATAATTTCTGGCATGTTATGAATATTGACATTTTCAAACAGAGCTGGTGCATGCTTCCTTTGAATGTGTTTATTGCAGTCCACATACTCTAGTGATTTGATGCCCACCAGTGTCTAGTATAAACAAATAAAAAATAACAAGCTCTTTTACAGTGTGAAATTTTACATTGTTCTTTTTTGTCCTTGAACTTTTATATTTACAGACCCCATCTCCATAGGATTCTGTCTAATGAATTATATATTGGCAACCAAAATATGTACAGAATTGTACATTTTAATTTCCTGTGACTGAAAGGTTCTAAATGCTAAAATATTTCCTTCTGGATTGAGTTAATTTAAAAATTATTATTAGTGCACAATTAATTTAAGACATTCATATATTGTACATTTCGTGAGTAATTATTAAACATTAAAAGTAAAATGATATATTGGGGGCCGGCCCGGTGGCGCACTGATACAGTGCGCCGCTTGGGAGTGCAGCGGCGCTCCCGCCGAGGGTTCGGATCCCACATACAGACCGGTTCCCGCTCACTGGCTGAGCGAGGTGCGTGAGCAACGCCGAGGCTTGCGATCCCGTTGCCGGTCCCCGGTCCGGTACGGGGGCAACACTGAGGGTTGCGATCC